TTCCTTCCTTCCTTCCTTTCTTCCTTCCTTCCTTCCCTAGCTCCTATTGTATTTTTATCGTTTCATTTTTTTTTGATCCTGATTTAATTTTTTTTTGATCCTGATTTAATTTTTTTTAAACCCCTATCCCTGACCAGCTTTGGATTTAAGACGCTTGGTCTGAGGTTTAGGGATGTGCAGGGTTTTGATCATGGGTGTGGGAGTCTGCATATCTGCACCCGCAGTATCCAGAAGAAGATGTTGAAGCTCCATGTCAATCGTACTGATAAAACAGCCTGGCTGGAAACTTGTTTCACACAGCATTGCATAGGGCAAAAACAATCCAAGGGACATACTGTAACTGTCGGAGCCCATTCCGACGCTGTTGTCCTGGGCTGTGAAGTAAGCAAGGAGCCAAAGTACAGACCGACCTTTATTTTGCAGTGGTTCCTGCTCAGGAACAACTCCAAAAAAGTATTCAAGTATAATACTCCAAACCCAGGTGTCGGGGGCAATCAGCGTGGTCTGCAGTTGCTGTGGGATTGTCCCAGAGTTCCTTGGCGCAGGCTTGGGCGAGGGGAAGGGGGCTTAGGGTTTAGGGTTCAGGGTTTAGGGGTCGGGGGGTATCACCAAGAAAGGACTTCACAACGTAGCGCATAAGGGCTCACCCGGAATCCGGAAGGTCACGATTCACCCTGACCCCTACAGCCTCAAACCTCAAAGCCCAACATCCCCTGAAACCCTCTGGGTCCCGGTTGAAAGCAATGCGAGCCCCGCGGATCCGACACATCTAAGGCAAGACCTCGACCTGCCTATGATCAACCATGGACAACTAACTAAGGTGCACGATGTTGAATTTATCACTTGACGGTTGCGATGGGCTTGGGGTTTTGGTCTTTAGGGTTTGGGCGACTGCGAGTACGTACTGCTACTTCTTATGCTGCTGCTACTGCTACGACGACGACGGCGACGGCGACGGCGACGGCGACGGCTGGACGAAGGCAGCAGCGCTGTCCAATGATGACCGAGCAGCCTAATCTTCGAGCCGCCGGTGAGGCACCCGGACCGCATGGTCGGGTAGCAGTAAAACCTGGGACAAGGTGTTCGGCGCTTAGTTTTCGGATATTAGGGTTGTAGGGGATGTAGGGGCAGGGTTTTGGCTAATTAAGGCTCACGGCCTGGGGTGTGTAAAGTATGTATGGACTCCCGATTAAGAAACCCTGGGTCTGGACTGGGGTTCTTTATATGCATCCTAGTATATCGGGGTGATCGGGCCAGGGTTTCTTAATCAGGTTCCTACATGTTTCAGGCTTTGTGAAGGTATGGTGCTGTCTGCTATCTACGACTGATTGAAAACTCGAAACTGAAGTTAGACTGCCTTTCGTGCTGCTCCAGCTCGTTTATGATATGGAGCTCCTGGATACTAAGAAAGGGTTGGATGAAATTCGAGCACGAAAGCCAAGCTATGACTCCCGGGAGGCGGACCACGCTTAGCCGTAAACGCCGCAAACCTGGAACTCTTAACCCTGCATTGTAAATCCTAAAAAGCTGAAGTCTTACATTTCTGCGCTCAGCATTCGGATTCGGGGTTCGCATCTCAAGGCTATCTCTATCTCTCTCTCTCTCTCTGTCGCTGGCAGCATTCTAAGGTGCGTCCTTAAAGCCGGGCTAGCGGCTAGTGGCGCATTGCAACCAGCTTTTGGAGCTTTAAACCCCGGCAGAAGCAACGTAGATACGCGTGAAACATGGCGAGCGGTCTCCTGGCCATGTGGCCCACAGGAGTGCCACCCGCCACTTCAGACGTCAGCATCACTGCCCTATTGGCAGTGGATAATGCGATACAACACTAGTCTGGAGAGCATCCAGTGTCAAAAACCCTCTGCGCAGGTTGGGCATGATTGCTGACAATGGCAGAAATGCAGGGCCTGCCCCGTGGGAGCCGCCTACAGTGTTCAGCCAGAGAACACGCACACGAGTCTTGGGGTTCTGCAGCGTCATCATTTCGAAGTTGGATGGGCTCTTCGGCTTCTGTTGGTTGCCAACCGGGTGGAGGGATGCTGCGCCGAAGGGGAATCAAACGAATGGCAGTAAAATCCAGAAGCAGAATCAGCCGGAACCAATTGCCAAAAGTCCCTCCTTCTCACACGCCTTTCCGCGCATCAGCTTTCTACCGTACTTTAACACGCAACGGTTTAACCTTGACAAGCTTGTAGCATCCCACCTGCAGACTTCCAATCCACTGCAGGGCGGGACATACACCATGACACTGAATACGATGAAAACAGCCCACATGACGCACCTGGAGTGCTTCAAAACCGGCCAAAGGCGTGCCAGCCACGAGCAGCTGCAGCAAGACGCTTCTCAATTTCACGGCACAAGCCCCAATGTGATCATGTACGGCGCCAAGATGGCGTGCAGACCTCCCACATTCCGAAAGACATGACGGTAGGATGCATTCGCAGACCGACCAGCAAAAAAGGGGACATGCTCTTGCTTGTCATCGTGTTGCGCCACCCCAATTTCATACGAAGCCTCATCGAATAAGACACTCACGGCAAACTGCTCGTGGCATCGGACTTCCCCTCACCCGTGGACGTGAGCGTGCTCATCTTTAGCGGCCTGCGCGCTCGAAGGCCAATGGGCCGTCCATGGCTATCTGCAGCTTTCTGCCGCGCAGCCCAGCCGCAGCGCTGGAGTCGAGCCCGGCTTGCGCCATGAGCCGCCCGAGTTGCTTCACGGCGCGGTGGCGTGAGCCTGCCGTACCTTCCGCACTCTCTCCTGGGACTTGCTCAAAGCCCCTTGTATAACCATTGTATAGTGCTTATATACACCTTATATAGCCAGGTAGTCTCCATATATTAACCCCAATAACCTACATTAACGGTCCCTCCTAAAGCCCTTGGACTTTCCACTCGGTCGAAAACCCGAAACCCCAAGCTCTTCGAATCGACACCTGCGCTCAAAACAGCGACACTACACCGTAAACCCTAAAACCCTCAAAACCAAGCCCTGAAACACAGCACAAAAGCAGCAATTACCCCCCTAAGGCTCCACCTACGTCCCCACTTCACAACCTGAAACTCCAAGGTTTTCAACTTGACTCCCAGCTGCAACCTAGCAAGCCCCCCAACAATAAAAAAAACAAATCCTAAAGCCCCTAAACCCCAAACCTTCAATTCCCGAAACAAACCTAATTGAATTTCTAGATCCTTGGCTGCCCTCGCTTCCTAATCTCAGCAGGTTCGTACACGTAGTAACCCCTTCCGGATCTCATAAATTGGCCAGTAAGGCTGAGTTCTCAAGATTCCGCCCTAAACCCTAAACCCTAAACCCTAAACCCTAAAGTATGAAAGTGTTGTGCCTTTTTAAAAGCCCCCAACCTGAAGCCTTGGGCGGGTTCAGTGCTTAGGGTCCACATCCTCAAATTCCTACTTAGGGTTTAGGGTTTAGGGTTTAGGGTTTAGGGTTTAGGGTTTAGGGTTTGGGGTTTAGTGTTTGGGGTTTAGGGTTTAGGGTTTAGGGTTCTACTTCCAATCCAAATCTTCAAAACCACTAAATCCTCTTAGCGAAGCCCCAAACCCGAAAAAACAAACCTCTCGAGAGTGGATGTCGCTCTCCATGCCGTCTGGCAGCGTGGATGAATCTATGGGGGAACTCGCCCAGCCCAGCGAGTAGTCGTACGTGCCTGTGTCTTCAGAGACCCGCAGCAGTAGCGTCTGTAGAAGTAGCGCGTCGTCGTCGTGGTAGTCGCAGTCGTAGTCGCGATCGCAGTCGCAGCAGTCGTTTTCGTTGTAGTAGCAGCAGCAATAACAGGAACAGTAGCAGTAATAGTAGTAGCAGTAGTACTAGTCGTGGTAGTGGTAGCGTAGTGGTATCGGTAGGGGTAGCGGTCGCGGTAGCGGTTGTGAACGTGATAATACCAGAACTAGTAGTTTAGTAGTAGTAGTAGTAGTAGTAGTAGTAGTAGTAGCAGCAGCAGCAGTGGTAGTAGTAGTAGTAGTAGTAGTAGTAGTCGTCGTAGTAATAGCAAGGTAGTGTTGTAGTGCAGCAGTGTAGCAGTGTAGTAGTGTTAGTAGTTGTTGCTGTTACTGGTAGCAGCAGTAGCAGTATCAGTAGCAGTAGTACTACTACTACTACTACTACTACTACTACTACTACTGCTACTACTGCTACTAGTACTAGTACTAGTACTAATACTAATACTAATACTAGTAGTAGCAGCAGTAGTAGCAGCAGTAGCGGTAG